GATTATTGCTGCAGTAACATTCGGAACATCAGGGCATTCCCATCTGAATAAAATAATATTCATGATCTCTAGTCTTTTTTTAGCTTATCCTAAAAAATAGGAGATGAAAAAAAATTGCGATCGTTAGAGGGCCGAATCGTGACCTTAAAAAAAGTGAACGATCCAAAGAAATCAAAATGAACTTGATTGGGACCAAAAACCCCGCAAATGCACGGAAATTTGGATCAATTACAAATCACAGTTTTGGAGTCGGGAAGCTGAAATTTTCAGTTGCGAAGCTGACAAATTTTCCAGTAGTTAGGTCAAAAACTGACAATATTCAAGTAAAAACGAAAAAAAAATATAAGAAATATCCAAGAAAACTGACGCTTTGTGCTGATCCGAACCACAGTTACTGCAACGAGTATCATCTGCTGAACAATCTGGGCGTAGTGTCCCATTCAACAGAGCAAGTTCTCTAAGTTGTAGTTTACGCAATTCATTTTGATCATCCGGCATCATCAGAGTTTGACTGATTATTGTCTGGATCTGAAAATCAGAGAATGCTTACAAACAAATAAAACCCACGCACACAACACTCAGAACCAGTCAAAACTTTCTGTAAGAGAAAGAGCTTATGCAAAGGTTAGCGACCCGTTATCATATGATAATAATTGGCCAACGCACGGGCTGCCTGTGCGAAGATGGGTTCTCTGCACAGCTCCCCGCAGTTTTTGTTGCTGTCGGAACCGGTTTTTCCGGCAAATGCTTCTACTAAACAAATTAAGACTGGCAGCCAGAACTGCTGGGAAACACCCCCTTAAAATTTCACCTTTCTAGCTTTCCTAACTCCTGAGTTAGCAACTTACTGGGAAAAAACTTTCACGGGCCGTACGGGGTACCACATACCCAATGCCTGGGTTTGAGCTCGTTGACTTTCCTAAACGGGGAATATCCTCTTAAAACTACAGTCTTCTAGCTTTTCAGGTTCTCGAGTTAGTAACTTGTCCGAGAACTTTGGTGAGCCCGTGTGTGGGTACCACGTATACTTGAGGGCTGGATTTGAGCTGAATGAGACTTAGGTGGGCGGAGAATACCCTCTTAA